GACTTCAACAGGAGCCAGCAGAATGAATCGGGCTGTTCTTCACCGCAACTACTCACCTTCGGCCTATTCCAGCCCAGAACGTTTGAGAAAAGTGAGTTCTCAGTTGGGAAGTTTGCTAGACTTGAGTTCACACCAGCTCTTAAAGTCCAAGACAGCCAGTTCAGACTGCCATGAGAAAAGAAAAGAAAAGAAAGAAAAAAGGAAAAGAGAAAGAGAAAAGCAAAGAAAAGAGAAGAAAAGAAAGGAGGAAAGAAAGGAAAAGAAGAAAAAAAAACAAGAAAAAGAAAAGGAATTCTAGACAGCAACTGGGCAACTGGACTTTTAAAAAAGATTTATTTATCTATATTTCATGTGTATGTATGAGTGCCTGCATGTGTGTCTGTACACGACGTACATCCAGTACTGGAGGAGGCCAGAATAGGACACTGATCCCTGGAACCGGAGTCTGGGCAGTTGTGAGCCACCATGTGAATGATGAAAACTGAATATGGGACCTCAGGAAGAGCAGTCACTGCTCTTGACTGCTGAGTCATCTCTCCGGTCCCATAACGTGTCCCCTCCTCCCTCATTTCTCTTTTCTCACCGCATAAGAAAGGGCTGAACTGAAGTCAGTTCCGTCTATTTAGACAGCAGTTAGCCTCTTTGCACTTCCATCTTTTCACCATTTATTTTACAGAATGGAGTTAAGATTGCGCAGCCTGTGAGGATAAACGTGCTGAAGCTCCTAGGATGATGTCGCGCACTCCCTTAGCATCTGACCATCTGACCTGTGGAGGACAGGAAGGTGAGCCCAGGCCTTAAGCATTGCTTTAGAGAAACGCCACTGCCTCCAGGTGAAATGGTGAACTTTAGTTGACATTCTGGAGCTGAACTTTAGAAACTTTGCTTAGTTTTAAGAATAGAGAAAAAAGAATCTGGGTTTTATATGAAAACAGTTTCTTCATTTACTATCTGTGCCAATTGAGCTGTCGGGTAACCAGCAAGATCTACGATGGTGACGATCTGCCACCCAGTGGACAAAAAGAGAAAGGCCATCATTTTATCTTCAAAATCTAACTTACTAAAAACGTCTGTTAAGGCTACTTTAAATTCACCCTCTAGCTTTATTTGGCAAATTTTACTCAATTTGTTTAATCAAAATTACTATTTATAAATTTATTAAATATAAATTCCCTAAAGCATGCAGGGTTTATGTGGTGTGAGCTATAGCATCCATCCATGAAGGTCTGTGGTTCACTTTTCTCATCCCTCCCCCCACCTCCAACCAGCACTCTTTTTAATTCTACCACACATCCTGGAAATGTCTCCAAGACTCACATAACATCTTCTTTGCCAGCTGTTGGCTGCCAGGACCAGCCCTTCTCCAAATTTTGTAAGAATGTATCATTTAAGGGTTTACTTTTATCAAAGTAAAACATCTGTGATTCCCTCCCCCCCCCCCCCCCCGTGTAGTCTGTGTGTGTGTGTGTGTGTGTGTTATCTTAAAACTATTTGTTACTCTTAGAACTTGATTTTCATCCTGAGTGTTTATAAGGATGGGGCATGGCAAATAACTATCACTCAAGAGCATTGACTGCTCTTCCACCCTGTGTGCCAGCAGGTGGCTCTGTAGTCCCTAATAGCTCAACATTGTCTTGGGGATCAAGCCTCTCTGGGTCACAGGTGGTTGTGACAGAGGACAAGGTCCCTTGCAGACCTTTCAGGAGGACTGTCATTTCACATCCTCACTGATGCTCCTGGCATCAGTAGACACCAGTGTAGGACAAGCACCCTAGAAGATGTCTCATGTGGATTTCCTACACGAGGCAAAGATCCCTGAGCCAGGTTCCTCTACTGTTTTCCTTCACTCATTTCCCATGTATGGATTGACTATTTATAGCCATCACATGATTCCCAAACCTGAGTAACTTAAAGCTACAAGAGATGACCACAGTTTTCTGTGGCCAGCTAAATAGTTCTGGGTGTCTTTCCAGGGTACAAGAAACTGCTAGGAAGTGTTGTATGACTCTGGAACTCCATCTAATCATTGATGTTGCGGTGCAATTTATTCTGCAGAGTAGTTGGAACTTGTCTTTCAGCTTCTGGGTTACCTCAGTTCCCACCAGGGTACAGAAAGCACTTCAAATTTTTCTTCTTTAAGATTTTTCTTTCAGGGGCTGGAGAGATGGCTCAGTGGTTAAGAGCATTGCCTGCTCTTCCAAAGGTCCGGAGTTCAATTCCCAGCAACCACATGGTGGCTCACAACCATCTGTAAAGAGGTCTGGCGCCCTCTTCTGGCCTTCAGGCATACACACAGACCGAATATTGTATGCATAATAAATAAATAAATATTTAAAAAAAGATTTTTCTTTCATTTTTTGAGAATATAATTTAATGACAATATCCCTGTTCCCCTTCCTCCTTGAAAACTCTCCCATGTACCTACCTTCTTGTTCTTTGTCAAAATCATGGCTCCTTTTGATTAACTTATTGCATGATTATGTATATATATATACATATATATATATACATACACATATATATATATTCCTAAATGTAACCTGCTCAATCTGTATTCTATTACTTATATGCATATTTTCAGAGCTGACCTTTTGGTTTGGGTGAACCAACTGGTGTGCTCTTCCCTGGGGAAGACTATTTCTGCTGCTCTCAGTGTTTCTTGGTTTCCTGTAGTTCTTTATGAAAGGTTGGGGCCTCGTGGGCTTTCCTCTCTCCACTCCAGCATGTCTATTGTTGTTGTCCTTGTTCAGATCATGCTCAGGCAGTCATGTTAGTGAGATTTTATTGGTGGAACTTCTGACATTACTAGTAGACACAATCTCACAGAAAACTCCTTGATCCTCTGGCTCTTAAAATCTTTCTGCTCTTCTTCCACAATGATCCTTGAACAGGAGTTGCATTTTGATTGGTTGTGGTTTTATGTAAGTTTCTGTCTGTTGCAAAAAGATGAGGGTGAAAACTATGGGCATAAGGACAAATATACAGACTATCTATAGATATTATGCTTGTTTAATAAAGTGGCAGTTGTAGGTTCGTCACCAAGACCCGTGACTTCAATGGCTTGTGGTAGTTGCTTAGGTTTCCAATACCAGGCACAACTTCCCTCTGTTGAGTGGTCTTAAGTCTAGTTAGAGAGCTGTTGGTTACTACCAGGGTATGCACATTACTATTGCTCCCTTAAGTTACTGTGCCATGCTGAATGTTGTGGTTCATAGGCATCAGAACTGGGTAGGACTGTTGGTTGCTTCTTGTACCGTGAGTCCTCAGGAAAGAGGCCTTCTAATTGCCTTCAGTTCCGGGGCTCTCTGTGCTTTGTGTCTGAGAACTTTAAATTCTTCTTGTGTTTTTTTTAATTGATTATTATCAAGCTCTACATTTTTTCTCTGTTTCCCTCCCTGCCTCTCCTCTCCCCGCTTCAACTCTCCCTCAAGGTCCCCATGCTCCCAATTTACTCAGGAGATCTTCTCTTTTTCTACTTCCCATGTAGATTAGATCTATGTAAGTCTCTCTTAGTGTCCTCATTGTTTCTAAGTTCTCTGGGATTGTGGTTTGTAGGCTGGTTTTCTTTGTCTTATGTTTAAAAACCACCTATGAGTGAGTACATGTGATTATTGTCTTTCTGTGTCTGAGTTACCTCACTCAAAATAATGTTTGCTAACTCCATCCATTTTCCTGCAAAATTCAAGATATCATTATTTTTTTTTCTGCTGTGTAGTACTGCATTGTGTAAACGTACCACATTTTCCTTATCCATTCTTTGGTCGAGGGGCATTTAGGTTGTTTCCAGGTTCTGGCTATGACAAACAATGCTGCTATGAACAAAGTTGAGCACATGTCCTTGTGGTACGATTGAGCATCCTTTGGATATATACCCAAAAGTGGCATTACTGTGTCTTGAGGAAGGTTGTTTCCTTCCTCAAGGAAATTGCCACACTGACATCCACAGGGGGTTGTACCAGCTTGTATTCCTACCAGCAATGCAGAAGTGTTCCATTTTCACCACATCCTCTCCAGCACAAGTTGTCATCAGTGTTTTCGATCTTGGCCATTCTTACAGGTGTAAGATGGAATCTCAGAGTTGTTTTGATTTGTAACTAAGATGGAATCTCAGAGTAGTTTTGATTTTAATGGAGTACACATAATCCAATAAAAATATTCTTTTTTAGTACAGTCACCTGAACCTAGGAACCCTTTATTCTCAGATCAAACATTAGGAAATCAGTCATTTCCAAAAATTCTTTAACTCTGTTGTGACCTCTTAGCTTTTCATAGGTATTCCGTAGTACACACACTCTGCTCTCTCTCTCTCTCTCTCTCTCTCTCTCTCTCTCTCTCTCTCTCTCTCTCTTGCTCTCTCTCTCTCTCTCTTGCTCTCTCAGTATGAGACATGCCAGTGTGAGTGATCTGATTTAATATTAAAAATTAAGATTAGAATAAAGAACCCAAGCAAAGCAGAAATATCTGGCAGATAGCTACCACTGAAACTATGTGTGAATTTGTTGTTATTCAACAGATCCTAACATTGTGTGAAAACACCAATATGTTTGTCTATATTTTCATATCAGTAAACAAAAAGTCACCAGTGTAATTCATCTGGTAAACAGCCAGAGCCATATTCAACTCCCCATGTCCCTAGTTCCCACAAGGTTCCAAGTGAGGCAGCTATGAACGCCACACTGGCATGCATCATACTCAGAGACAGCGTTCTAGAACTGCTGCTCAACCTTGTGCCTGAAGAACTGGCTGACAAGGGCTTACAGGAATGTCCTCAAGGTATTACATAAAGAGGAGAGCAAAGTCATAGGCAAGGAGCAGCCACAGATCTGCCACCTTTTTCGGAGAAATGATTTCTACCGCCCTTCACCCTCGCCAGTCCCCACCTACACCTTCACCTCCCACAAACACTCCAGAAAGAGGCAAGTGTTTACTTTGCCACTGTGAGCTGCCTGTGGTTTCCCTCACCGTGCAGCACGATCCTTAGCTCTATTCGCTACTTCTCTTCATGTGAGTGAGGTCAGCGTCTCTGCCACAAGTGGACAAAGGACGGGAAGTTTGATGTTCCTACTGTTCTGTGCACTGCTCTGAAACAGACTCCATTCCTGCAGTTCAGAAGGTTCCGCTGTGCTCAGCCAAGCTCGCCTGCCATGCCTGGGCAGCTCTCTGCCATGGCCATGCTCTTCCTGTCCCTGGATGGTAAGTGACATAGCCCATTTTCTAGGGTGGCCATGCTTTATCTAGTTCTTTTAAATCCAAATGCTTGTCTGTGCCTTGGACCTAAAGTGAGGCAGGAAGGGCTATAGATATGGTTTCTGTTCCTCCAGGTATTTATTGTGATGACATTTAAAAGCTGTTAGTGTGCACAGGCAGGGACCACCTTCTCTTTTTCCCAAGGGCCTTTACAGTTTGAATAGAATTTCTGTGAGCTAGAGTGTCTTAGGCACCCACATTAGTTTGGATATTATAGATCAATATGAGTTTATAAAAATCACCTTGATCTAGGATACCTGAACCAGGGCTTAGCAATCGGAGCTGCTATCTAGTCACACACTGCATTCTCTATTTTTTTAAAAATGTAACTGCTATTTATGTAAACCGTGACATTCAAAAATACATCAGCTGTAATCTGACCAGTTACAGCAATTCAGAAAGTGTAAATTCAGGCATCCAAAAGGTTACTAAAATATTGTTATTGCACAGCCAACTCAGAAAGGTTGCCTGGGAGGCCAAGCATAGATTAATTACTGGCTGTCTTGAGTACCTACTCTCCCCTGAGTATTTTATACCCAAGATATTGAGTTCTATTGGGTTGTTGTTCTGTTCTGCTGTACCAACTCATTCCCAATTCCTTCCAGAACCACGGAATTTAGCTTGTGAGACCACCGACACAGTCTACACTGCACTGCTGAAATGCTCTAGTGGAGGACACAGGGGCTTTAGATGTTACATGGATGTTATGGAAGCTGAGTAAAGCTTCATGGCAGCTGCTTTAATACACGTAGTTTTGTTTGTGGCATTCTTTCAGGATTATATTTTCATGTTCTCAGAAATACATAAACGAAGTGACTTGATTTGGTGATCTAGGGCAACGATGGTGTTGGCTTAGCATTGGATCCAGTCACTAGCACTGTGGGAAAAAACTCCACAACTTATTGTTTTAAGCTAATATAAAAAGCAAAAATTGCTGCCTATGAACATACTCTCACCCAGCTAGAAGAGAAAATAGGATGAAGAATTCTTTACTCCACAAAACTCAGGCTCAACTTACAGTCAATGTTTCATTGCTGAGGAAGAAGAGGCTGAGTTTTGGAGGCAGCACCTTCCCATCTTTTGTTCTGTGGACACATTAGTAAAAGTTTGTCTTTTTAACTATAGTTTCATGTTCTTTTTTTCTCAGTGTTATACTGAACATTTGTTTGCTTATGTGTATACATTATTGGCTAGTCCTTGCATGAGGGATGGATTATTTTTCCTTTTGACATTGGGTGTCATTACTATTTTTATTATTTAAAACAATTTTTAAATTTAATTGTATTTTGATCATATTCATCCCCTCTCCAAAGTTATTCCAGATCATCTCCCCCTTCTTACCTACACAACTTTAAGTTCTTTCTTAAAAAACAAACAAAAGCCCAATACAATAGCTCACAAAACAAGTAAACAAAATAAAATCACACCCCAAAAGAAAAGCTAAACAATAAAAACAATAACCTCTCCAAACTGTAACCAAATATAAGCACAATAAAAATTTGTGCATTGCATGATATGTTGGTCAACTGCTTCTAAACGTGATAGAAGATCAACCACTTGGAGTGATTGATATGTATATACCCAATATCTCAATATACTCAATATATATATATACCCAATATCACTCTAGAGGAGAAAAGTTCTTTTCTTTTCTTTTTTCCATCAAGTAGTAATAACAGTTCAATCCTTAATCTTTACCCTAGGGATTAGGTTTTCATTCATTCATTCACTCATTAATTTAAAAATCTAAATATAATACAATTAGAGAAAACTACCACAGCAAAGTTGGACAAAATAAATCAACAGAAGGAAAAAAGCCCGAGAGAAGATACAAGAACTAGGAAGCCACTTATTTGCACACTCAGGAATCCAATAAAACAACTAAACTTGAAGCCATAATACTTAGCCAAAGGCCCGGTATTGACCCATGCAGGCCCTCTACATGCTGCTTCAGTTTCTGAGTTCATATGAGCTTTGCTTGTGCTGATTTAGAGGGCCTTGTTTTCTTGTTGCCCTTAATCCCTTCCTGTTCTTATACTCTTGCTACCTCCTCTTTCACAGGGCTCTCTGATGCCTGAGGGAAGGGATTTGATGGAAGCAAATTAGAGTTGAGTGTTCCAAGAGTGTCTCACTCTGTACATAGTCTGGCTGTGGATCTGTGTATTTGTTCCCATCTGCCGCAGGAAGAAGCTTTTCTAATGATGTCTGAGCAAGGAACAGATCTAAGGGCAGAGCAGAATGTTATTAGGAGTCATTTTTATTGCCTTTTTTTCGAACAGTAGTATTTGATTTTACCCTAGGTCCCTATGCTGTCTAGTATCTGTGTCTTGGTCACCCAAGCAGTATTGGGTATGGGTTCCATCTCATGGAATTAAGATGTTGGTTCATTACCTTCACATACAAGCTTTGTGCCACCATTGCCCTGTATATATTTCAGGCAAGACAACATTGTTGATCTAAGGGTTTGTGGCTGCACTGATGTTTATGTTTCTTTTTTAATTAAGTGTGCAGAGTAGTGTCTTGTACCAAAGATGCTAGCCCATGGGGTGATGGTTCTATGTATGCACTAGCTTGATTTCTCCATGTTCAATGAGTTGTGTAGGTTTTGTCTTCAGCAATGAGGCCTTGTTGTCAGTTTATAGAGAGAAAAAAACCTCAAGTCTTTTTTAAAAGACAATTTTTCATTTATTTTCTCAACTGACCAGTTTCCCTTTCCTCTTCTCCTCCTGCCCTCCCCTTCAGCCTCCCATATGGTCCCCTCACCATCCACTCCTCCTCCATCTTCATTTAGAAAGGGACAGGCCTCCCATGGGTGTTAACCAAACAAGGCACATCAAGTTTAAGCAGGGACAAGCTCCTCCCCCTGCTCTACCCCTGCTGTGTGAGGTAATCCAGCATGGGAAACATGTTCCCAAAAGTCAGCTAAGCACTCCGGGACAGGGCATGATCTCACTGCTAGGAGCCTCACAGTCAGACCAAGCTACACAATGGCTTCACACATGCAGAGTGAGTGCCTAGGCCCATGCCATGTAGGCTCCCAAAGTCCAAAGTCCATGAGCTTCCACAAGCTCAGAAACTGCTAGTCTTGACAATAGCTTGGATTATTTGGTTCTAGGATTCCTCATGCAGTATGTTTTATTTTTTTTCTAGTTATATCCGTTTACCTGTGAATTTAATTTTTTTTAACTGCTGAATTTTGTAAGTGTACCATGTTTTCTTTAACCATTATTCTGTTGATGGACATCTAGGTTGTTTAAAATTTCTGATTATTATGAATAGAGCAACAGTGGACATGGTTAAAAGTGTTAACATGTTAAAAGAGGAAGCATCTTTGGTTTGAAGCCACCATGTATAATGTGTCCAGTAGTTGGAGAGTGTTATGGGTATGGAATTTAGCTCAGTAGTAAAGTGTGCGCCTAGTATATACAAAGCCTTGGATTTGATCCTCAGTAGCATAAGTGCCGAGGGTTTTGTTGTTATCTATTAATACTGAGAAACTAACCACTTAAAATGTATTGAATGGAAGAAGAAGACGTAAAGATTCTTATAGACTATATTGACTGTTATAAACTCAAGGATTTCATAAATACCAGGGTAAAGCTATGTTTCTCCTCTTTGCATCTTTTCCCAAGTCTCAGCCCAGAGTCAACTACTACAGCTCCTGCAAATGTCTGAGTAAATGCAGTAGGACCAAGAAGTTTGAAGGGACAGAGCTGTTTTCTTGCACATCTTATCAAAAAGTTTCCAAGGGCCAGTCTCAGAATTTTGTCTACTTTTCTGGGTTTATATATACTTACAAAGAAGCAAAGATAGAATCTGGAAGAGAGAGAGAGACAGAGGTCTTAAGCTCCCTAACAGATATTCTTGAGAGAATTTGTGTCAGCAGCAGTCACTATATACTCAATGGTCCTGAAGGGTTTCAAAGAAACAAACTTGTTTGAGCATTATAACAACTCTAGAACGTCTCTAACACTAGCATCCTCCTTTACTCGCTCATCCAGCTCATAGCTCCTGAACACTTTTTATGCGCAGGCACTTGCAGTAAACTATGCACACAGTTCTCAATTTTAGGCTTTTAATCTAGTGAGTGAGATGCATAACCAACAAATAAACTAGCAAGTGAACATTTTTTCAAGGAAAAAATTCTACAACCTACTGTCAACGTGATCAGTAAATATCTGGATACTTTCCCCATATGTGAGTACAGATGTGATAGGTGAAGCTGAAACAATGACTGTATCACTGGAGGGAGAACCATGGTGATGGAGCCATTTTATATAAGGAGGAAAAAGGGAAGGCACTCTGAAGAGCTAACATTTAAACCCAAAACATGAAGGACCAGAGCTATTACACCTTGACTTTTTCTTAGTTAATAAAGACTGGATTGCTCAAAAGTTTAATAGAAGTTGGTCTATATTTAGAAAAAATAATATGAAAGGGACTATCTTGTGAGAAAATATTCTCTCGTCATTGACAGCAATTAAGCATAGATTGCATAAATATATATCAATTAGATACAATTTATCCATCAAATTATGGTTGAAACTAAATAGTTTGTGAGACTTATTTCAACTTGAAATTACATGATTCCATGAACAGTCTCAAACCATATAAATCTCTACTGCTGCCTCAGGCTATAAAATAATCAGAGCCACTGTTTACTCCAGGGCATTTTATGACTTCCTTTTGATTTCACAGTTGAATATTATTACTTTGGTGTTCATTGGTCGAAAACCTATGCAGATGAAGGGGTTACATTCAGCATGTGTGGAATACAGTCATAAACATGTAAAAATACATGTGCAAACAAAAATATTACAATGATGGCCTGGCACAAGAGTCTTTGGTGTTCTTCAATTCAGTGTTGCAACTTTTGGAAGTTTCCCCTAAACGTGAAACTGTGAATACTGGTTTACTTATGAGCACATTAAAATGGGAATGGAGAGGGACCTTGTAAGCATTTGTCCAGTGCTTATAACGTTTTTTGCTTTCATATTTTTGCAGTAATTTTACATGGCCATCAAATAAGAGAAAAAGACCTTCTAAAAATCAGAGGCTATCTTCAATATACTTCAACAGCAACAGGACAAACCACAGCAAAACCTCTCCTACAGCTGACTAATGAAACACATCATGTAACATTAGTAGCAAGATCAAGGGATGATCACATTCAATTAGCTGCTCAAACCTCCACCTCTGAAAATACAGCTCACACAACAATCAAAACACTAATTCCAATAACTACAAAAGGTCTTATACCCAGCAGCCCAGTTAACTACACCTTAGTCAGACCAAGTAACTCAAATGTGATTGCTTCATCTACTGAAGGTACAATTGGCCCTAGTTCAATTGCACATTTACCAATTCATACAACTGGACCTAGTATATCTACTGTCAACCATATAACTGGGAGAACTACACAGCTTGGTGGTCAGACTACCCTCCCCCAAACATTTTTCACAGCTTCACACAAAAGCACAACCAATGAGAAGCCAACTCCACTCACCTATGTCTCAGAAATATCAGTACCTACACACAAGGACAGCTCACCAATCCCCACTGCCCCCGTGGTTCCTGGGCCCACTCTTGCAACCCAGTTGTCACCAGCTAAAACTGGAACATATGAAGTCCTAAATGGAAGCAGGCTCTGTATAAAAGCAGAGATGGGACTAGCACTGATTGTTCAAGAAAAGGATTCGGTAAGTTGAGGTCATAGGAAGGTAATGCTATCTTCAAAGTCTGACTGGAGCTGTTTTCTTAAGAATGAGCAGTTCTTGCTGGGTAGTGGTGGCACACCCCTTGAACTGCAGCTTTTACAAGGCAGAGAAGAGCAGTTTTCTACATCACTTCCACTTCTTTAGGTGAGTCAGGTAACTAGCTGTGGGTTCATCTTTCCAGTGTTCTGTATCATAAAGGAATGTGTTCCAAAAGAAGAGTAAAATAGAGGAGGCAAAGAGAACTTCAATATGTATACTTCTTACTTGGAGCCAGCATTGCCAATATTAGGGAAGCTGAATGACAGTCACAGTCTGGCCTTGTCCCTCTGCATGTCTTCCCAGCCTCAATTCCTTTCTGACATGAAATGTTGGAATCTGATGTTCTCCATGGTTCCAGTCCACTGAGACATCAATACGAAAATCCAAGTTAACAAGAACATTAGGGAAAGGGGTTATACGAAACATTTTACTTACGAGGGAACCATCATAAGTTATTTTCTTTTTATCCAAAGAAAACTCACATGTCTGTATTTGAGGCAGAAGTACTTTAGAATACAAACTCCCCCCCCCCCATCACTTTTCAAGACATTGAACTGAACAAGAACTGAATTCCGTACAATTTACCTCCTATGAGTTACTCATTAAGATGTCCCTATCATGGGAGAATTTCTTCTAAGAAATCTTTTAAGCACATGCTTGGAAGTAAGAGGGTGCCATTCACCAGGAGAATGTGTAGGTCTCAATTGAATATTCATTTATTTATTACTCATTTAGTAGCTTGAACTTCTGGTTCTCTGACTTGGCTTGTGGTTTTTTCCCTCCTGCTCTTACTGAATAGATCTATCTTATTTGGTTTAGGATTTTGCAACTCAGAGACACTTCAACATTGACCCTAGTCTAACCCACGCATCTGGGAAATGTGGCTCCCAAAAGTCCAACCTTTTCTTGGATTTCCAAGGTGGATCAGTGAATGTCACATTTATTAAGGTGAGCATGAATTTCATCCCACTGACTGGCTCTCGTGTGGCTTGACTTCTCCTCATTCTAGTGCCAATACTTCAGCTCTAAATTTCAAACCAGGACCTGGCAGAAGTACACAAGAATCTCTTGAAATCTTTTCAGATAAGAATAAGGAGCTTGGGAGGGAGAGGAAGGAAGTGTTGACATCGTGTTTGCCTTCTTCTTCAGCCTCCTCTAATCAGTATAAGAAGGGTTTCAGTTCCTCTCAGGAGAACCTTAGCTTTATTGGGGGTCTAGTCAACAGTGCCCTTTGCAGATTACTCAAGGAGGAAGTATCAGGGATGAAAAGATTTCTGGAAATTCACAATGGACACAATAAATTCACAATAAATGGGGTTATTCTAAAACCAAGATCAAATACCAAAATGGGTTCTTTCTAATCCACAGAGACTAGAAAGGCTCTGAGTTTTCCTAACAGGAAATAGACATCAAGTGGAGTGGAAAAGGCTTGGGCGTTAAGGGTAGAGTCAGCTGTAAATTTGACTCTGTCACTGATTAGCTTTGTGGCAGTAAGCAGGCAACCTTAATCTGTTTAACTTCTATTTTATGACTTAAAAATGAGAAAAGGGATCATTTCTATAAGAGCATATGCATTGCAGACAACATGGTGAATATTCAACTGCTGCCTATTATATTGAATTAATTACCATGGGAAGAAGGCCAAACAAATGAACCTGGTCATGCCACTGTCCAGAGGAACTTATGCCACTATGGAGTCCGTACCAACTGCATGTGCATATACTTGGGGGATATTTCTTAATCTGTAAAATGGAAATTATAAGACAAGTTACTGTGACTTTTATAAACACAGCATCCACTATATTCCCAAACTTAAAACCCTTCAACAGTTCCTCTTTTTATTTTTGCTGTATAGCAGAGTTCTTTATTTTGGAAGGGGTTGAGATAGACTCTTACTATGTAGCCCCGACTGGTCTGGAACTCACTATGTAGATCATATTGACCTCAAATTCATAGAGACCTGCCCTCCTCTGCTTCTGAAATGCTGGGATTAAAGGTGTGTTCCACTACAGCCAGCTCAGGCCAGGGGTCTTATAGCCTGGGCTACGAATGCAGAAGTAAAGGTCTCTTTTATGCTGAAATAAATCCCAGGTAAAGACTAATATGAATAGATGATACATAAAAGCAACCTAGACAGGACTTGGGCCACAGATACTTTCCCCTAAAGTAAATAGATGGTTCAAGTGTGTTGTTCTATTGGCCTCTAATCCTGATGAGATGGAGTACTTCATAGGGGAGCCAGGTCTTCTGCCAGGTCCTCCTTGTACAATGTCTGACATGGAGGGGATGTTAAAGACAAGTTAATTTTGGTTTGAGTTTAGCAAACAGGGATATGGGCTACAATGTATTTATAATTATTTATTTAATGATTAAATGTGAGACTTCTGAAAGTAATTTTATTTTATATTCTGATTTTGGTTACACTATCATTATTGCTACCCCTTTCTGGTAATAGCAATATGAATCACTAACTTTAAAAAATAGAAAGGGCTTAAAAACTTAGCTCAGTGGTAGAGTATACACTTATTATACATGAGACCCTGAATTTAATTCTCATCACCAAACAGATACACAAATTTAATTTTAAATTGACTCCCTTCATTCAAAAAATTATAATTTGTTTGAGCATTCTGTGCCTCCAGTCTTTCAAAGGATTGTAGGGTTATTGTATTTTTTTTCTCAAAATGAAAACCCCCACATAAATGTGGGACTAAGATGTGGATTTCAGGAAATTGTAGTCTTCTCATTTTTGGTGGTCAATTTAACTAATCTGAAAACACAAATCTATTTAACTCTCTAGACCAATTGACATTATACCCAGGGAAATACATATAAAATTTCGTTTGTTTTATTTTCTCCAGAGGATTGATGAAGCCCTCAAACTTCACCCAATGTATCTTTGAGCATGGGTAATCTAAGTTAACCCCCTTCATCCTCATTGACCATTCCTATTGCCTTTCATTTTGCCTATTTGCCTGTTTGCATTTTGGAAACTTGAAAACACTGAAATTCTTCTGGTGGAATTTTAGTTTCAGGCTCTAGCAACAAATAAGAAATAGAGAAACCTAGATCCAGGAATCATTCATTACCCATTTTCATTTATTGTGTGATATGTTTACTTTTGTTGAATTTTTCAAATATAATTATGACTAGCACAAATATATGCTCTAGCCCTCATATCAAGGACTTAATAGCCAAGATTATAGATAGAAAAGCGGAGATTCTTCAAAGTTTAACACATTGCTGTTTTACAGGAAGAAACCTCATATTATGTCAGTGAAGTAGGAGCCTATTTGACTATCTCAAATACAGGTAAGACAGCAATGATCATATCACCGTTTTCTGCTTTGCTTATGTCATTGATGCTGATACACTTTGATGCTGTTTTTTTTCTTAAACAACAAGAAAATAGTCTATAATAAAATAAAGCTTTTGGAGAATTCACAACATATATGTACCTCAGGTTATCTGATCATGGAGGATGGTGGTCTAGATTATATTGGCGAATTATTTTTGGAAATTGCAAGTTCAGTATCCTTTAAACTGATTTGTTGTTGGAGTGTAATTTATTCCGTACTCTGAATTGCATATTAGTCTACAAAAATATGAGATAGCTAGGTACCATGCTCTGTCTGTGTTAGGCACCAAAGAGTCATAATTATCCAAACTGATAAGATTCTGTCAGAGTGAAGCTTGCATTCCAGAAGGAAGTGCACCATACAAAGCTATGCTAAACTACATTCTTAAGTGGTAATGAATTCTAGGGAGAAACCCAAACCAGAATGTCAGAGGATGGAGAACTATTTTGTGTGCCCTTTGGTAAGCCTCCAGAGAAGAAACACTTCTTTGAAAGATATGAGGTTTGATCACAGTCTCTCCATTATCTCCATATGTGGATGCCTGGTTTGAGGCAACTTTTCCAGATGACAATAGTGAAAGATGCCTGAGTCTTCAGGAGTGAGCTTGCTAAGGTAGCTATATTCACTACTTTTCCACTGCTGCAGTGAAGTTTTATGGCTAAGGTAACTTAAAGAAGGAAGGATTTATTTGGCTTATTTTTCCAAAGACATAAGAGTTCATTAGCATTAGCATCAAAGCGGGGCAGCAGGCAGGCTTGGTGACTGGGGCATGGGGCAAGAAACAGAGAAATAGAGAACTCACATCTTAATCTGTAAGCCAAGGCAGAGAAATGGGGGGGGGGGGGAGACAGAGAGAGAAAGAGACAGAGAAAGTTTCTGAAAATTCAGAAGTTTTGAAAACTTTTGCAAACTCTAAGTCCAACCAGAGTGAAGTACTTCCCCCAATGCCACACCCACAAGCAGTGAAACCAAATAAAGACAAAATATTCCATTTATCTGAGCTCGTAGGGGACATTCTTAGTCAAACCACCATAGCAACTTAGGAATAGCAGGATACTAATGTGTCCTAGAGAGTGAATGCACAGCAGATGAGGTCCCAGGGATGTACAGCCCAGGGCAGGTAAGCTAATGACTTGAGATTTTATTCTAAAGTATATAAATATATCATGAGCGGATTTGGGTTAAGGAAATGGGGTATCAAATTTGCACTTACAAAAGTTCCCTTTAGTTCTCTCATGGAAAATTACCCATAGTGGTGCATGTTTAAAAATTTTTACCAATGTTCACATTTAAAGAGATAATGCTCCTAAATGAATCTAACAAATCTACAGAGGGCCTCAGCTACTTCCCCAGAAAGTTCCACTACTGTGCCAGTTACTGGCTTTGGAATTTTCTTCTTCTTTTCAAAGTGTTATCATTTGATTGGCTTAAACATGATTAATTAATGATCTCTCACTAATGAAATTTGCTAAGAAATGAAACCATGTGGGCAAAGTCTATTTAAGCCATTTGTTATATTTTATGTAGTTACTCAAGAGAATTTTGTCAGTTATGCTGGTTAATGTAAATAGAAATGTTACAACTGACAACTGATTTTCAGATGTGTTAACTTACACCTGCCTCATCTAAGTTAGAGAATAAGTATTATGAGTGCCGTTAGAAATTGCTTAATGCTATCACTAGGGATGGACCAGTTTTAACCAGTGGGAGGGTGGTCAACTCTCAAGTAATGTGGGAAAAAATATCAGAGTAGAAATTAGCGTTGAGGCTAACAGATGGGGAAACAATCCTAGGTTCATATGATCAAGGGCTCAGCATTATTAGCATGTGGAACAGTAGATACTGTAATGATGGTTTTCATGTCAGTGTGGTGCTGGTGCTAGTATTAGTAACATAATTCATTATCACTACAGTACTGATGGCAGGCTAATGTTAATGTGGATGGCAGCAATAGGATACCCAGGATAGACAGACAGATGATATATGGATAGGCAGGTCATATATAAAGAAAGCTACAGATGTACATCCCATGATGCAGCAGTATAGTATAAACAGATAATTTAGTACACCGTCTCAGGACAGCTTGTTAACTTCATTTTTTCCCCAACTTGTTAATTTTTGTGAGATTATTCCTTACTGTAACTGGCAAACGGACAAGACACTTTGGCACTCTGGCCCATGAAATATTTTTGTCATTCATGAAGGCACAGCATGATTAGAAGAGTGCTTGGTGAGTGCCGACTGGAGCAAATGAAGTTTGTCATATGCTTAGCCCCATCTGCCTTAACAACCTTTTTGGAAAGGGTATACTGACATAATGATCAGGTCCCTTTCCTGGACAGCAAACAGAAGGAGTGGGATACATTTCCAAGGATGGGTGCAGCTTCCCTCCTGGACTGATCGAGTCTCACGGTACACAGATGCTCCATTTGTGAACTTGTCTGTGTTTGTTCTGACTCACTCCCATGCACTATATGCATTAAAACAATCTTACTCCTCTTTCTAAAGTTTTTAGGAAACTCTCTATAGCCTCAGGAAGTGACAGCTCTGTCTCCAACAATGTGAAGGAATCCAGAGGAAAAGTACTCAGTTCACTGTTGCCAACATTTCCCATAAATTCCAACCAGGGCTACAGAAAAAGCTTACCTAGAATGTTGTACCTAGAATGTTGTTTTCATGAAGAAAAGATGGCAGAACTCCAAGGGCACACCACCCGAAGGAAGGTGACTAATGTATAGCAATACATTAGCAGGCCAGTAGCACCTGGAACGCAATTAATAGTGTCAGGATTCTTGAATATATCACATTTTAATTTTTCTCCTCAGAGAAGACTTACCAGGGCATGAAACATACTATGATGCTGTTTGAGACAGTAGTTGGGCATTCCTTCAAGTGTGTGAGTGAGCAGAGCATCCAACTGTCAGCTAAGCTTCAAATGAAAACAATGAACATCCGTCTCCAAGCCTTTGATTTTGAAGGAGACGACTTTGGAAATGGTAAGTTAACCATCCTTAAGTCACAAGGAGCTTTCAGAAACCCAGGGTTGGTTCTAAGGTTTGTTTATTCTGAATCTGCTAAGGGACCAGAGCACATAACCTATTATAATAGAATAACCCTGTGAAGCTCTAAGAGTTGTGTTAGTATTTAGTACATTTATCATATATGGTATAGATATGGTATAGATATGACACACACACACACACACACACACACACACAACTAAATGCATGTCCACTACCTTACTTCAGTAGGATGACTCTTAACTGTTGTAACATTCTCACTCATTTAAACACACACACAGACACACAGACACAGACACACACACACACACACACACACACAAGAAGGGAGGGGCACTGTGGGCACCTCTTGTAAATGCTGTTAAAGACTAAATAACTCTAGCATGTTTAGAGAACACGTTAAACATTTTCACTAAGATTTTTTTCTTTAAAATTTCATAATAGATTCTTCACACCTGCAGAGAGGATAAAACAGGGTGTATTTTTCCACATTCAAGAAGGAAATAAATTGTGTTGGGGTATTTTTCTGGAATATAAGCCATTTCATTTGACAGTTCTTCATAGCCAGTTTAGTTCATACCTGACTTTTTCTTTGCTTTTGAACACAGAACTTGCCTGGTACTTCAAGGGGTGGAAACTAGCACTTAGATGAAGGCCAGTGCAACGAAAGTCACTTTTTAGAAAAGCTCTTGTCTTAGTCACTGTTCTGCTGCGAAGAGACACCAGACCACAAAAACCCATAAAAGAAGGCTTTTAAGTGTTTCAGAGGGTTAGTCCATTATCACTGTAATGTGGAGTATGGTGGCACACAGTAGGCATGGCCCTCGAACTGAGAGCTTTATTTACATCCTGATCCATAGGCAGCAGAGAGAGAAAGAGAGAGAACTTGGGTTTGCCATGGGCTTTTGAAGCCTCAAAGACTACCCTCAGTGATGTACTTTCTCCACCAAGGCCACACCCACCCCAATAAGGCATATCTTCTCCAGTAAGACCCCATCTCTAATCCTTTCAATCCTTCTCAAACAAAGCCACATACCAATGACTAAACATTCAAATATATGAGCCCATGGGAGCCATTCTTATTCAAATCACAACCTTTTTTCATGTCTGAAAACAGTGTTATTAGGACTTCTACACCTGACCAGAAAGATTATAAACCACCTAAAATAATTTTCCTAGAGGAACTCAAAAAACATTGTAAATTACTTTTCAAGCATCGTGAATAGAGGCTCTGTGTGAACTTCTGATATGAATTTTACTTCGGGTTCCATTCTAAAACTAAAAGTGTGTCTAGCAAAAAAAAAAACAAACAAACTTCTTCTCATTAGGCAAACAAAGAATTCAGGTGTTGTTTGTGTTGGATCCTGTGTCTCTGAAGGTTTTCTCTGAGTCTGAGTTTCTGCTTCTGCTTGGTGCCATTGCCATAGGGTTCATGTAAGTAGGCATCACTACAGCTAAGCTGTGGAAGGCTGGTCTTAGAGGGTCTGACGTCTAGGAAATATTTATTTCTTTGCAAATTCACCATGAAAATTTGAAAATCTCTAACACTAATCATGTGGCTTCAGCATGAGGTAGATACTTGCTTGTTTACTTGTGAAGAACCTCTGTGAAGCAGGAAAGGTCTGGTGGATAAAACTCTTCCCATGTCTGGATGCCATTACTACTGCTCACAGGCAGATGTATAAGAGAAAGAAAACATCATCAAAGGGAAAAAAAACCATATCATCAATTAAAGAGACCCTGGGCAAGAAAGAAATGCTTTTTTACTCCTTCCCTGCTTCCCCCTTTCACTAGACTTTCACACCCTACCGTTCTGTCACCAAAAGAATTCTCTTTTAGTCACTGCTTTAGCTCCAAGTCCTCATCCTAGATTTTGTAATTCATTATTTTAAATGATGCTCAAGTGGAAAAATAAATGCCATTCTGTAAACACTACAATTGTTTTTGTACCAGAAACAGTCATTTTTTTAAAAAAAGCTACAATGTGAATGGAATTTAAAAAAATGTGTGTGCAAGGACCATGAGTACTTAAAGAGAACAAGATTAACACAATGCTGATAGTGAGGGGTGGATCAAAGAAGGAAAATTTTCTATATTTCCCATATTTTCGCCCATTATTTTTTAGCAGGAAGTTTATGCAATTTGGCAACTATTCCATGATTACCACTCATTTATGAAGTGCACTTGTTCCTGAAAGTGTCTTAGCTCTTTCCACATTTTTGAGGGGCTGAGGGAAGCATCTGGAAGACTCAAGAGAGCCTGAAGAGCCCCTAAACATACCCAGAGTACTCAGAAACACTCATTTCCTTCTAAAACAGGAGGTGTTGATGAAAAAGTAAATGTGAGGGCCTGGCTTTCTCCTAAGTGATTTAGGTAATAGCACACACTTGGCTTGGAGAGACGTGACCTCATTTGTCCTCTGTCAAACACTTTTTCTTTAGGCTCCATCTATGTAATGTCAAGGGCCCTTCTAAAGCTCTGCAGACCAGAGTGGGAGGTGTGGATCCGCGGGGCAACTAGTCATCTTAAAGAACAACTACATTAGACTTTAATCTATTTTCTGGAAGTGGTATCTGCATCAGATGGGAACAAGAGGCAGAGCTTAACACGAAGAATAGAGCAAGAAGGTGTTTTGTAAAATTGTAATCTTCATTTCTACCATCTTCAACAAGTTCTGTCAGCTGATAGACTTGTTATCTATCCCCAGCAGCATAAACTCTTCTCCATGTTAATTTAAACAAACTTTCCAGTAGCCATAAAGAGTAGGGGTTTTATTTGAATAGTTTTTATACCAATACTTGCATGTGTTCATTTCTCACAGTTTTGCTTACTTTCTTCAGTACAGAGTGGAGGGTCAGCTGATGCAGGCTCCTAACTCTGTCTCCCTCTTCTCATTCACTATACATACACCCACTCGACAAAACTTTCAACAGTGGACAGAATTCTGTAGGTGCCTCCTTCTGTCTGGAATAAGTAAGAATTGTTTGCTTAATAGTCTTCCTTTTCAAACCAAGGATAGAAAATAGAAAGAGCAAACATAGGGATGGAAGGAAGTGAGCTGCGAGTCACACCAAACATCAGGATAACTCGAGCCCATAGCTATTCCCAGACCATTTAAAAAGGAATAGATTCCAAAACCTCAAGGAATTCATTGACAGAGTTCCAGTACAATGGTGATAACTAGTAAAAGTCATTCACATATTATCCAAGAAAATTGAATTTTTGGATTGACATGCTTAAGTGTGAACAAAACGAAAACAAAGTGCATGGCCACTGGTAGAACCACTGCAGAAAATATAAGACAACCTTGAAGCTAAAGAATGAGGTATTAGGGTTATTGCTTTGCTAGGCATGACATAGCAAAGTGCCTAAGCCTGGATGACTTAAGAAACAGAAGTTTATATTTTCACAGTTCTAAGACCTAAAAACAAAGATTAATATGTTGAGCATCATTAGATTTATTAATTTTTTTATTTTGTTGCAAATAGATTTTTTTGTACAATATATTCTGATTATGGTTTTTTCTCCCTCTAATCCTCCCAGTTTCACTTCCTTACTCCTCCCTTCCAGATCCAAACTCTTTCCCTCTCTCTTTAAAAAAGAAATAAGCATTTAAGGAATAATAATACACTATAATATGATATACTATGAAATGATACAATACAACAAGATAAACAAAAATTAAACAAATCAGAATATGACAAAACAAACAAGACGAAGAGCCACAGAAAAGGCACAAGAAACACATCTAGACACAGACACACACATATAAGAATCCCATAAAAACCTGCAATGGGAGCCGTAATATATACACAAAGGACCTGTAAGGTTAAAAATAATTTCTAATTTATATAATGAAGCAAAGGACCCCCAAAGATGTTGAGTTCATTTTCTGTTGGCCTTCTACTCCTGGACATCAAGCCTATCCTTAAGAGTGGCTTGTTTCCCCAGTGAAAAAAAAATCTAAGTTTTATTTGCAAGTGGCTTTTGACTGGATATGGTTTGAGTATGTCCACTCCACCTTTCAGTTCTGGACACCATATGGTCCAGGCCCTTGCAGTCCCTGTGCATGCTGTCTCAGTCTCCATGAGGTCATATGCACAGCTATAATGATCGGCTTTGGTTCATCTGTGCTCTCCATCCCTTATGACTCTTCCATTCTTTCTGCTTCCTCTTCTGCAGAGTTCCCTGAATCCTGAGGGGGGTGTGTGATGGAGGCATTTCTTTTAGGGCAAGGTTTACCCAGGTTTCTCATTCTTTGCATATTGTCTGGCTGTCGGTCTCTGTATTCATCTCCACCTGCAGCAGAAAGAAGCATTTCTGATGATGGCAAAGCAAGGCATGGATCACTGGATATAGAAGAAAGCCATGAGAAGTCATTTTATTGTCATGTTATTTTGGCAGAACATTTGGTTTTTCCTTAGGTTCCTGGGATATCTAATCTCAGGTTCTTGGCCACCCAAGTAACACTGAAGATGGGTTCCTTCTCATAGCCTTAACTCAAATCAGATAGTGTTTGCTCACTCCCACAAATTTTGTGCCACCATTGCACTAGCATATCTTGCAATCAGGTCACGCTTGTAGATAGAAGGATGTGTAACTGGGTTGGTGTTTGCCTTTCTCTTTTGGTAGCATGTAGAACACTTTCCAGTACCACAAATATTAACCTGTAGGGGTGAAGGCTCTAGGTATTTCATTCCTGGAATGAAGGGAGGTTTCACTTGGTTTCAAGAGATGTCTATTTGGGGCTTTGTCTACTCCATTTTTTTATGATTTTATGGATCTCAGTTTTTGGAGGCCACTGTTGTAGTCACTTTTTTATTGTTGTGAAGAGACACTGTGACCAAAGCATCTCTTATAAAGGAAGTGTTTAATTTGGGGTTTACTTACAGTTTCAGAGGCTTAGTTCATTATCATCACGGCAAAGATAATGATGGCAGGCAGGTATGGTGCTAGAGAAGTAGCAGAGAGGTATA